ATATCTCTATTGAGCAGAGCTGCCCTTAGCTCCAGTGATAGGCCAGATTAGGTAACAGGGTGATATTCTGACCCTTGCATGCAACCAACTCACATTAGTATGTCCCAAACTCCTCATCTTATCCCCAAAGCTGCTCCTCCCATAGTCCTCCATGTCGCAATGAATGACAAATTCATGCTTCCTACAGCTCTCTCATTTATTGCTGTAATACTGCAATAGTCTCCTAACTGGCCTATTTTGTCCTTGCCCACTTACAATCTACTCTCAATAATATGGCCAGAGTGTTCCTTTTGAAATGTGAGTCAGATCATGTTACTCTTCTACCCTACCTTCTTCAAAGGATCTCCAATTCCCTCAGAGGTCAAATTCATTAAGATGCTAAGGAGCTTTGCAGCGAGAAAGTGTTAACATATCAGGCCTGACTACTATCCTTAAAAAGGACTTCTAGCAAGGTTGGCCCTTGGCTAGCATCTGGGAACTTGGATATCGGGAGTGTTCCCACCATTCCCTGAACTGCTAAGTGGCACCCTGTGCCCATGCTGTACAAACAATGTGGTTTTTGCTGAACATCTGTTTTCCTTCTGGGAATCCAGAATTTTGGTATGTGCCTGGTGGAGGGTACCTATGTGATCAGCCTCCAATTAAAACCCTGGGCACTGAGTTTCTAGTGAGCTTCCCTGGTTGGCAACATTTCACATGTGTTGTCATACCTCGATGTTGGGGAGATTAAGTATGTCTTGTGTGACTCCACTGGGAGAGGACTCTTGGAAACCTGCACCTGGCCTCCTCTGGACTTCACCCATGAGCTTTTTCCCTTAGATGATTTTGTCTTGTATTCTTTTTTTTTTTCTTTTTTTTGGAAAATTAATTTTTTATTTATTTTTCTTTTCTTTTTTATTTCAAAAAATTCAGGGGGTACAAGTGTTTTTCGTTATGTGGATAAATTTTACCATGCTAAAGTCAGGGCTTTTGGTGTACTCATCATCAGAATAGTGTTCATTGTACTCAACAGGTAGATTTTTATCCCCTACCACTCTCCCACAATAAGGTACATTGTTTTGTATTCTTTGCCGTGATAAATTATAGCTGTGGGCATGACAAAATGCTGAGTCCTATGAGTCCCCCTAGTGAATCAATGAAACTGTGGGTGGTCATATGGGTCCCTGACACAGAACCCTGGCCCTTCACCTGTTGGACCTCACCTCCCCCTTGTACACTGACTTCAGCCACAGTGGCCCCCTTTTTCCTCCAGATGGGGATGGGCAAGGCTTCACTGCAGGGCCTCTGCCCTTGTGGATGGACCCTCTGCCTTAAATGCTCCTACCCCAGGTAGGCACAAAACTCACCCCCTCATCCCCTACAGGTCTCTGCCCTTCTGCCACTTACTTCATACAGCCCTCCCTGATCATCCTATTTTCAGTTTCTTCACATACAACTTCCACTCCTTCCCTTGTACTCTCCATCTGCCTTCCCTGCCTACTGTTTCTTCATGGCACTTACCACCACCAGGAGTAGGACATATTTTCTTATGTCTTTGTTTATTGTCTGTTTCCCTTTACCCTTTCAAAAATTTAAAGACCATGAGAATAAAGACTCTTGCTGTTTTAATTTCTAACATGACTCTAGCATCTGAAATAAATAACATCTGGTACATAATAGGTGTTTATTAAGTATCTGCTACATGAATTAATGAATGAATTAATGAGTGAGTGGGCTTGTTACCCAGTTCTGGCCAATGAGACACAAGGCATTTTCTAAAGGATTTTTGGAAATTTCTTCCTTACTTTGAGAATCATGTAAAGCATTTCTCTCCCACTGGACAGGAACAAGAAAATAGTAGTCCTAACAATAACATCAGCTTTCAAACAATCAAAGGAAGATGGCAAAGTGGAGAGATGAAAATAATTGGGCCATGCTGACAGGGTAGAGTATCCAACCAACCCCAAAGCCCACCTTCTCTGTGGACATGCTTAGTATGTAAGCCAATTTGAGTTACGTTTTCCTTGCATGCAAAATATTTCAGAGAAAGGTACATAATAAGTGCAGCTATAACTGCAGTTAAGAAGTCAGAATACATTTTGAAAATAGTAGTAAATGATGTAAATAAATGGATGTCTTTTGCTTGTTGATAAAGAAATATGAAGTCTGGGCACGGGAGTGACCTGGGAAGACTTGCATGGTTCTCCTTCCTTGAGAAACACCATCTACATGTGTACAATGCACATATGGTTATAAATCTCTCTCCCAAATCCCTCTTCTCTCTCTTTCTCCCTCTCCCCTCTCCATCTCCACAGAAGTAACAAAGGCATAATAGCACAGTAATATATTTGCACGTGATGTGTGTGACACCACATAGTACAGTGTATTTAGAATCCATTTCATTATTGCCCTCAGGTAACAGAGCTAATGGCAGAGCCAAACTCCTGGAACAAGACCAAGTGGTAACATTTCAAATTCAATTCTATAAAAGGAATCAGAACCAAAAAAAAAAGAAAAAAGATTAGGACAAGTTGACTCAGAAAGTCTAATGTATAAAACTGTAAATTACAAGATGTCAGTAGAATTTACCTTTGGATGAAGAGTAGCAGGTGAGGCAGAGGAAAAGAAAGAGAGAAAGGCTGAAGATACTCAAAGTATGACTCACTAAGTGCTAATAACAGCTAATATATAAATAGAATAAATAAATAATTTTGACTTGTAAGTGTGGTATCTTCAGTATCATTACCTGAGCAAAGGCAACAACTCCATAGGCATCATCATTAGACAGAATAGTTATTGTTACAGAACCATTAATACCAATCTCTGCTCCTCCTTTGGGATTTTTAAGCTGAACTTTGAAGGATTCTTCTTCCTCTGGAACTATATCATCAAGGATATTTACCACTATTGTAGCTTCTTTGTCACCAGGTTCAAATATCAGCTCACCTGAACTAGCATAAGAAGTATATATAAATCAACTATGACAAATTCAAGACATATACATAGTAGATTACTCATAGAATTATCATTACATTGATCAATATTAAAAGTTTAGATGAATCACATTTCATATTACTTATTAATCCATTTTAAACCAAAATATTCATATGATAGTGATTAACTTGGTGGAATAGATATTAGAAATATGCATAATAACAAAATTTCTGGCTGATAAATAGCTCTTATATTTTGTATATTTTTCAGTCACTAAATAAAAACTTATAAATTAGGTGCCATACAAAATTATGGTAAGCATAGAGACACATAGTATAAAATGTTGAACCTACCTAGGAATAAAGTCAGACTGGCTGGAGATGTAGACTAGCTCATATATATGCGAGTAGGTAGTTCCCACTAGAGCAATTAAATTCTTGCTTGAATTAAGGGACTTTACTGTAACAGAAGCTGCATCGTAAGCAGAAGGTGCTTCCAGAACAAAAGAGAATTGATTCAGTTCCGAATTCCAGCAATAAAGAGCAGACATATCTTGGCCAATGAGAAGCATGTGAACTGCAGGAAGGAAAGAAAAGGCAACTCAAGTGAAATGTAAGCTGTCACCTTCCACACTCCCTGTATGGGTTTCAAAGCAAAACCTTTCTAACTCTCAAAGTTCTGTTTTGATTTGAGGTAACTAAATATGATTCAATTTCTGAAATAACAGAATGTAAATAATAACTTTTAAATGCTGTGGGATGATCAAACCAGCCTGACAATGCATGCACATCCATTTGATAAAAAAAGAAATCACTAGCTGGTAAAACCCCCACAGATTTTGTCATCTCAGTATTTATTTATTGAATAGCATAGTAGGATATTTTTTAAAGTGAAAAATAACCATAATCCCACCATTAAATGTTTCACTTTTATATATTCCTTTGCAGTTACAATCCATATGAATTCACAATTGACAGTTATAAACAATGTAAAAATACAAAAAAAATCTTAACAATCTCATACCGTATTTATAGTATTATACAGTTTTATATGTTGTTTCATGGCATTGAAGTTTATAACTTAATGCATAGACAATAATCTATAGGGTTGATCCCCAAAGTATACTGAACAATTTCCCTACATTAGATATTTGTTGTTTTATATTTAATTTTTCAATAGTAAGTAGAGACAGAATTATTCATGCTAATTATCTTCACTTGATGAATTTTTTCAAGGTAATTAAGCCAAAGGATAATCAAACAAATTTATGACTTGGAGTATATTCTGCCAATCCTATTTGAAATGTTATCAGGAAATCATGCTTTTAATAGTTCAAAGCATTGGCATATATTTATATCTACACAGGTTAGGAAGGAAGGGGGCTTAGTATGTTGTATATATTACTAAATAATCTTCAGACTTAAAACTGTGGGAAAACAAGAAATCATAGAGAAACATGCACATATTCCAATATTTGCAGAACATAAAGATATCAAGTAAGACTGATTAAATATTAAAATCACACAAAGAACAAGACAGCACGATCTATTCTAAAATTTTAGCCCACAGGTTATAATGGTAAACCCCATATCCTTACTCTTACGTATTAAGAACTATTGATCATGTTTATTTATAGTAATTAATTTAAGTGCTAGTGCAGTTTAGTAAATGTTGCATAAAAGGTAAAGATCATCAAGATAGGTGTCATTAATAGGCTTGAATTTTAAATGGCTATATATTTTTCACAAAGCTTTGTAAAACTGGAGACCCACAGTAAAGAACAAACTCGGGTGGATCTCAGCATCCCTCAAGGTTACCTGATTCTACCGTCTCAACCAAGATCATCTTTGCCTGGAGTGAAATAACCTTTTATATTTACCAACTTCTAATGTACATCAACAGTCGTGGATTCTCTTTTAAGCTACAACCAGTAATAGTTACTCTGAACAAATTTAACATATCCCAACCAAACTTACTATCTCTTCCCTAAAAAATCTGGTCTTCCCCCAGCAATCACCGTAATAGTTATAGAACTACCATTCATCTATTAATTGCAAGAAATTAGGGCTTATCTTTGACATCCTCTCTCTCACCTACCCCCATATCTAATCTATCATCAACTCTTGTGGATTTTACGTCTGAGACACTTTCTGAATCACTCTACTTCTCTGATTTTCCACATGCATCACCTACCACTTTCCAAGTTCCACTATTCAGCATCTCTAGTCTAAAGTATGAGCCTCCAGTTTCTTTTCAGACATCTTGTCTTACTAACTTCTAAGTTTTTTTTTACCATGGCAGCAAAAGCTCCCTTTTTAAAACACACTTACACACACACACACACACACACACACTAACACAGAGTCTCTCTGTCTCCCTACCCCCGGGGCTCTCTATCTCCATCTCCTCATCACCTTCTCATAAAGGGCATCCCAATACTTTTAAGATAAAGACCATAATCCTTTAAGACCCTATCTGATCTGATTATATACATTCGGTTACACTCAGTATCACTGTTTCCTCACTGCCTGTGTTTGGGCCACAATGGCCAGTTTCTGGTCCTTCCCTAAGAGCTCACCACCATCACCTGACCTCTTTGCCCATGGTCTTCCCTTTGCCTAGGGCCTGCACCATGCTCAATTCTTTGTCTCATTAACTCCTACTCCACCTGAGTTCTCAGTTAAATGATTCTTCCTTAAGAAAGCTTTCTGGGCATCTCTTAGACCATGGCAAGTCCTCTCATTTTGTGTTATGAGAGCATTTTATTCCATTTTCTCATGGCAGTTATCTGTTTATAGCTAGAAACTTACTTGTGTGATTTTATGTAATATCTCTCTTCCCTATTGCATGTTAAACTTCTTCAGGGAAGAGACTATATGTGCTTTTGCTTACCTTTGTTTCCCCAGGGCTTACTACTGTGCTTGGCACATAATTGGCACTTAAAAATATCTATTAACTAATAAAAGAGAGAAGGGTGAAGGGCAAGATAAGTTTACGTGTCCTTGTAGTCTTTGTCATATTCATTCTTCCTCTTCCATTTAAAGAATTCAGTCACCACCCAACAATCTCTGTCAAGTCATTAACCAGAATAAATATGTGATCCTCATAGTCATAGTTCCAATCTATTACTTTTAATAAAATATTTGACACATTCTAAATAAGAAAGTCCTCGAACATTATTTAATGCATAATTTCAGCTTTCAGGGCATCTATAATAAGCCATTCTAAATAACTGCCTACGATCTTTTCATACTTCTACAACCTCAAGTCACAGAAACAAAAGAAATAAAAAGACCTCACAATGGGTCCCTTAACAAGCCTCTGGCATAATTTTTCACAAATTCTTTTAGAAAGTATGCCTATTATATTTTTAAAAAATCTTTTAAGAGAATTCTATAACTTTAATTAATGGCCCATTCAGGCAGCACTCATCATGCTTAAAAACATTCATTAGGCAACTATTTGAATAATAATAAGTGACTCAAGGAGATACAGTTAGTCCACTTGAAAACTTGAGGTATAAGAGAAGCAAAAATAATAAAGGCAAAAAATTAAAGGACAAATAGATAAAAACTAAACACATGCATTATGAAAGATAACAGATAACAGTAAATCGTTTATGGGGTGAATGTAAAAAGTCACCCAAGTTGTATCATAGGATAGCATCACAGACTCATGACCTGAGTGTTGGTGATGTAAAGAGAAGTTATTTAAGGAAAGGATGTGCAGAACAGAGACATATGCAGGACTCTGATGGCAAAAGGAACACAGTGTGAAGGCCAGAAAGCAATGTCATAGTCCCAATGGGAAGTGTCTAGGGATAGGGAGAATGTGGTATGGACATTCCACAGGGCAGAGGAGGAAAGAGTAGAAAACATGGAAACAAAGTACAATGAGATATAAACTATCTATAAAAAAAATGAACGGTAAATAGAATAACATCAGCAGGATAGTGGAATAGGAATTCTCTGGCTCCACCATTTCTCAGAGAAATCTAATTAGCAACTATCGATAGATGGACAAGAATACCCTCATGAATATCTCAGAATGTGGGGTGGTGCTGAGAGCCTCTCTTGGACCACAGACTAAAAACAGCTGCACACGAAGGGTGCCAAAGGTCTCACCGGACCTCAGAGCACAGCCAACAATTCCACTCAACCCCAGAGCAACTTTAAAAAATTGAGTTCCTAGAAGTAGAGAATAGAATGGTGGTTGTCAGAGGGGGAAGAGCAAGAGAATGAGGAGTTGCTAGTTAAAGGGTACCAACTTTTGGCTAGACAGGAGGAATAAGTTTTGAGATCTATTGCATAGCAGGATGACCATAGTCAATAATAATATGTTGTATATTCAAAAGTAACTAAGAAAGTAAATTTTGAATGTATCATCATGAAAATGTGAAGTGAGTGAGGTGATGGATATGTTAATTAGCTTGATTTAATCATTCCACATCATATACATATATCAGAACATATTATGCTCCATAAATATAATATAATCGTGATTTATAAATTTAAAATAGTAATTAGAAAATCAGAGGTAAATAACCGCTGATTCCTGGTAGTGGCTGAGGTGACTTAAGCTAGCAGTGCCTAAAGGTTGCAATGCCTGATAGAGAAAGCAGCAGTCAAGCATCTAAGGAGAAAACTGCAAAAATAGTCTCCTGTATTTGTTCCAAATCCTCTAGTCATCTAAATCATTATAATTTACTCTATACATTCTAACTTTTGTGAGTTCAACTGTTCTCATGCATCAATGTTTCTGAAATATAAACCTCTACCCCTGATTTCCTTCCAATTTCAGTCTTACACCTCTAACCACCCGCAGGTGCTTCTCTATCATCTTGAACTAAAGACGCCTATAACCAAGCTTATCACATTTCCCACTAAAGATATTTTTCCTATATCTTCCCGAATTTCAATACTAATCTTTCCTCCCAGTTGCCAAGGTGTGATAACTTTTGCTCCTCACATCTGAAAAGTCATTAAGTGTTGTTGTATCTTCATTTCTAATTTCTCTTGCCCACAATAATCTTCATTTCCGATTTCTCACCCCAGCTCAGGGCCCTCTTCGACTTTTGCCTGGGCAGTTGCAAGTTACTCCATCCAGCATATTCCATACACTGAAGCTAGGAGGAGTAATAAAACATGTCTTTGATCGTCACTGGCCTTTGAAATGTCTTCAAGGGTTTGTCTACCTCATTAGTGCTCTGAGTGTGGTCCAGGGACCCCTAAAAGTCTTTGAAACACTTTCAGAGGCTCTCTGAGGTCCAAACTATTTTCATAATAATACTAAGACATTGTTTGTCTATTTCACTTTCATTCTTTTATGAGTGTACAGAATTCCCCAGAGGCTATATGACTGATAATATTGCAACAGACTGAATGCAGATGCAGATATGAGAATCCAGACTTACAAAGACAACTACTGCATGATCTCACTTATTTGTGGAATCTAAAAAAAGTCAAATTCACAGAAACAGAGTTTACAATAGTGTTTGCCAGAGGATGGGGGTTGGGGGAAATTAGAGATGTTGGTCAAGGGTACAAACTTTCAGTTATAAGATGGGTGAGTTCTGCAGATCTAATCCACAGCATGGTAACTATAGTTAATAATAATGTAATATATACATGAAATTTACTAAGAGAGTAGCATTTGCCAAAAAAAAAAAAAGGTAAATATGTGAAGTGATGGATAGGTTAATTATCTTGATTGAGGGAATCATTTCACAATATATACATAAACAAAAACATCACATGGTACACCTTAAATACAGACAAAGTTTTTCTGTAAATCATACCTCAGTAAAGTGGAAAAGATAAGTTAATTATTTTTAAAAAGGGAATCCAGATGTCATGTATTAAACCAGACATTAAAGAAATTTTTAAAAATTGGAAAAAAAAAGAACCAATGCTACTCTTCCCACAAAGGTTTTTGTTTTGGAAAACATAGGTTTAAAAAAAAAAAAAAACATGTTATTTACATTTACACATAATAAGTATATTGTTGTCATTTTAAATAAATTAGAAACATCTTTTAAATTTCTCAGTTCTAATTTCTAATACAAAAAATACCAATAGATATAATGGATACAAACCAAAGTTCTTTGAGGTCCTCAAACTTTTAAGAGGGAGAAAAATTCCTAATAACCAAAATGTGTGAAAACTTCTGGGCGATCTGAGGCACAGGCAAATCCTGGGCCTGCCATTCCGGGTCCTCTTCTGCAGGCTCCAGTGTGTGTCTCCAACCGCAGCACCATGACACTGTGATCAAATCCTCTGTCCCCAGCACTTCTGTCTGCCAATGGTGCCCTCAACACGATAAACACTTCTGTCTCTCTCTTTTGCTCAGATCCTTCTCCCTGCCCAAAATATTTCCTGGCAATTCACCCAGACATAATTCAAGCTCCTTCTTAGATCTCTTAACCACTCCAATTCTACCCCTCGCAGAGCAAATGGTATTGGTCCTCTACCTTGAGTTAGTGTCTAAATATTTTTTCTTGCTTCTCCAACCAAATAGTAAGCCTTTAAATATAATATCTAATTGATAACTGTGTGCTGTTTAATTCATAGAATTGCCGTGTCTCAAAATAAGAGCAGGGCTGAGGTTCACACAGACTCTCCTGCAGAGCCACTCAGGTTTGGGTTCCAAGTTCCTCCAGACACCTCTACAGGAGACACGATGATCCACTGACTGTGTCCCCTTCCCGCACTGCTGACACTCAGCCTGCGTGGCAGCTTGTCAAGCACATATGCCAGCTGGAGTCCACTTCTTCTTTTATCCCCGGCCCACCCAAGTGATTCCTTGCCAACCCTAAAATAATCCTACAGCCTCCAGACCTTGGGTTCTCACGAACAGACTTTGTTTCTGGAACCATAGTGGTTAAGAACATTGCTTATGTTTCTGATGTGTGGGTTAAAGTGGAGAAGACCAGGAAAGGATTTCAGACTGTGGAGGAGGCTGGTAGAGTAAACGAGGATGGCAGAGTTCTCATAGTCATTTTCTGACTTAAGAAAAGAATTCTAAATGCAAAAACTTACTCTCCTCATATGCATACTTTCATATTTTAAAAACATATATTTAATATCACTCTTCTTTTTGCTAGACAAAAGAAATACACTATCTTTAGTCTTCACTAATATTTTCCTCCATATTTTAGCCATTCTGATTACTCTCATGCACAATGCCCATAGAATTTCAAAACATTCTAAGACTTCTGGAAGAATTATTATAAAGATCTTGATTTTATATTCCTATTAAAATACCTCTATTAAAATACCCAGTGTCTGGCAATGTGACAATTAATCTAATTTAATGAGATTAAAATCATTCTGGCTTTCCACGCTGCCTTTAGGATTGGTGAGCAGTTGAAAAGTCCTTACCTATTCCCGAGGCTGGTGTGAAAGAGTGAATCCTGTCAACAGAAGTAAAATCCAAGGATTGAAAATATCTGAAAGAAGACCGTCCTGTCTCCCAGATGAAAATATCAACTGAATTCTGATCGCCTACAATAATAGAATAAAAGTCAAATCTTAAAGCAAAAGTTACAGGAAAAAAAATGACAAAATTGCACAGCAAAACTACAATAAAAATATTAAATTTAATTTGAAAACAAATTTCCTCAGAATCCACTTAGTTTATCAAAAATACAACTTAGTAAGAAGTGTTTCAAAAGTTCATTCACCACTTGAAGTAAATACATGGTTAGCCATTAACCATGATCTAATGCTAAAGAAAGAAAAGGGATGATAATATTTTTTATTTTTTAGGAATGTCAAAAT